CTACTCCTGTTACCCCTGTCTCTGAATCAATCCACTTCATAGAGGGTTTTTCTCTCTTGCACTGTCCCTCCACCCTCCCAAGCATGACATCTCTCTCCAAGGACTGATCCAGCCTTGCAACATGGCCAAAGTATGTCAGACAGAGCTTCAGAATCCTTGCCTCCAAGGAGTAGCTTGGCATCACCCTTTCCAGCATGAATTTGTTTATTCTCCTGGCTGTGCCTGGTATAGTCAATACTTTTCTCCAGCACCACGGCTCAAAGGCATCAACTCTCTTTCTATCAGCCCTAGTCATTGTCCAACTCTCTGATGCATAACAAGTAATTGCAAAGACCATGGCCTGTATCAGGTGAACCTTTGTAGGCATAGATCAATACTAATTGCTATTATAAAACACAGTGTATATGAATGTAAAAAAAGCATCTTAAAAACATATTTGATGCATTGAACATTAACAGTGGAAGACTACACAAGTTGTATCCCATATCAAGCATATATATCTTTACAACAAAAAAAACCACTGTTAAAAATACAGGAAATAAAAAATATTAAAAAAAAATGGATACCAGAAAAGACTCTGAAACTTGCTTTTCAATCAGAAGAAAATAAAGCAACAGGAAGAAATTACCAAACAAGATAGTCAAACAAACAGATGAGGGAGAGAACTGTTTAAAATGAATATATGATTAGGTATTATTGTCATGACAGGAGTCCAGAATTAAGACTGCATAATGGAGTGGACTTGGGGGGAGGGGTTGTATAATGATGAAAGAAGTTTTCTTTTAGTTTTAAAAGAGAATAGTGAATTGGGGAGGGAGGGGTAGGCAGGGGAAAAAGTGCAACAATGAATGACTGGAAACCCCAAGTCTTTGTAAACTTTCATTAACATTAATAAAAAGAGGAAACCCAAAGTCTCTGTAAATGTTCATTAAAATTAATTACAAACCCCCGAAAACAACAAAAAAATAATAAAAAAAGAAAAGAAAAAAGATAGTCAAACAGATGACTTTAAGGGACAGCTTCTGAAGAAAAAGCATTAAAAGAAATGTGTAAAGATGTGTTAGAAAACCAAAAGTGAAGAACACATTTCTCTCTTTTTGTCTTCCCAATATTTTATGCTAATGTTGATTAAATGCTAAAGATTTGATTTTACGCTAATGTTGATTAAAGTTGTAGAGGGGCTTCAGGTCTTTTGTTTATAGGGACACTATGAGTTGTGCTCGACTTGAAGAGGACAACAACAACAAAGTCCATGTTATAAATTTTTGCAAACCTCACAATAACTTCCTATGCTAACTTCCTATATATGTTATGTATATTATTTACACAGATGTATTATATGTGAATAATACAGTACATGGCTTTGTGTGCTGTTTATACAAGTTGAGATTCTGTAAGGAAGAGCAAGTTGGACTTCTTGGACATGTAATGAAGCTGGCATCTATAAGTGAAATTAATTGGGGGGTTTAGCTCTTTTTTTCTCATTTTATGTTTCACACTACTCTTCATTCATATTGCGTTTCATACAATCATTTCCATGAATTATGTTTTATAAAAACAATCACCATTGGGACTTAGCCATCATTACACATTATTTTCAGGATCCTGCTGGATCCTTTCTATTTCTTACACCCAATCCCTCACCCACCAAACTGTGCAACCCT